GATACTTAACAAAGGTTCTCATTCACCTTGTTCGTATGGATTTGGAGTGTGCAGATGCCTCTATCCTTGATAAAAAATTGAGCCCATTTGGTCGAGCCCTAATGGAGATATTCAAACTTTTTTTCCTTGTCTTGTTACTTATGGGACACCCTGTACTTTATTTATGTTTGTCTATTTTTTTCTCTTCGAATAAAACAGCCTTAAAATATAATTGTATTCAATACAATGTATCAAATTGTATCAATTGGTTTTTCTTGTGTAGAATGGATATACTCAAGATCCATATTTAATATTGAATTGTTTTAATTAATCTATGCATGATATTAGGGTATGGCAGATATGAAACCGGTACCGATACGAATTTCAGACCGACCAATCTGTCGGTAGATCGGCTGGTCCAGTCTGACCTTTTCAGACCGATACAACTACCGGTCGTTAAAAATTCAGACCAGTTCCATCTCTGGGGAATGGGTCGTATTTTTTGTCTCTTATTGATAAAGTAAGTACACACAAATCAATCATTTTTTTTATTAAAGGGTTCGAAAATTTTGACAAAAAATCATTAATATAGAACGGCTGTTGTGAAAACCTAAATTATGATTCAAGACTATTTTTATTTGGAATCAATTATCACAAGTCTAAAAAGAAATTCAAATATTTTTAACCCATTCACGTTCAAGATTTTCGAGCCATTGAAACATGCAATTGAATGCTTTTTCACGGACAGGTTTTTTCGATAGAAATACATCATTATTTGTTTTTTCTATTGGGCAGATTGTCACGTGTTGACTAAGCATACCAGCTGCTCGTCGAATGTTCTCAACATTGAGTACGAGATCAACTAAAAAAACGAATAGTATAAGCAACAATGCAGCAGGAAAAGTTTTTAATATTTACCTTTAGCGTACTCGTCACACCAAATCTTATCAGACTTCATCGATCAATTTGAACTCATGAATAATATGGGACATTTAATCGAACTACCATTCTGTGTAACTTCAAGTTGGGCACGACGGCAAGCGGCAAAAAATGCACCATGAACGCGTACTATGTCAATAGGCTTTTTGGTCGTATCGAAATTCCATTCACCTTTATGCGATACATGCAACGATCGACCATTCCATCTAAGTGTTTTTTTCTTATATGATAAATTTCAAGTCAGATATAAGAAAATATTATCCAGTTATGATGTCTTTGGAATCATTCGTTGCTATAAGGAGACTCACTAAAGTGGATTGAATTATTGACATGTCAAGTTCGACCAGATTTGGGCTGTTGAGTATGAGAGCATCAATATCACTACGTTTAGGACCAGATATTGCATATAAACAGGCAGTTAGGCCACCTACTCATCAAAACGAATTAAAATTTCACATTTAACTCAACCGATATTTTCAACCTTCGAGGTGCATGAAATCACCGTTCAAGTCGTAACATAGCTATATCCTAAGATAGAGCCATAGGACTTTAGTTCCGACAGTACTTGCTTATTTGTTACTGAATGACACTAGAGCGAGAACGTATTCTATCAACAACGTGCATTATTATCTGAGTTATAAGTATCGCACTTTAAATTAACCAATACTGGCGCAAAACCATTTACTCCTGAAGCATAGCCTCAGAATGCCCAATTGATTCACAGGAACTCAAGATAGAATTTTGACGACGGTGGAGCTTCACGAGCGCAATAAATTATACACATATTTGGTAGACCTTGAAAAGCTCTATTGATCGATTATCATCTTGTTCGAACTTTTAAAAATTTAGCTTCTTCCATTTTCAGTGTCCGCGCTCCTAAGAAAAATGGTATAACTTAGGCAAAATAGCACTTTTCGATTTAGTTTTTTGTTTAATGTCAAAGGAAAATGTGTAATTTACCCAATTAAAAGGGGAAAATTAACCTAAGATTCTCTTCTTAATTTAGTTTGCAAAAACTATTAGCTTTGAGTCAAGATTGTGCGAAGTTAAGTTCTCCGATCTTCAATTTAATTTGAATCAAACTTTGTGTTATGTGACGAAAAAAGTACGCTTCACTACTAAACTCTGTGTTCTCTATGATAGCCTATTGAAATATCCGTAGAATGGCCAAGAAGTGCGAATTTTTTGTTAGTATATTTTTCTGCTTGTTTGTTCATATGTTCAATGGCAAGTGAAATTTCTTCGTCGTACTCGTGTATATCCGTACAATAATGTCTATATTGATCTTGTTCACGTGAAATTATTGATCGACCACATTTACGCATGTCAAGTGCAAAAAAATCATAACCAAAATCCAAAAATCGAGCACATACATGATCACTTGGAAATAAAAAGATATTCGGAATGAAGAACAGAATAGTATGAAAATTTTATTTTATTACTCACTGAAAGAAATAATCATTGTAATCGTGCAAATAAAGAACAGCTTTGTATAGATCACTTTTTTTCATTATTCGGGCATGTAATAAAGTTGCTTTGTTTGGACCAAGGTTGTTCGGTTTTAAAGTGAATATTGTTGTCTCATATTGAGGAGTTGATGTTGATTCACTATTTGTATCCATATTTTATTACAACTAAAATCTAAACATTGAATCTCATATTCTATATTCAACAAAATTGACGAATCAAAACAAACACTTGAATGAGATTTTTCCAGTCAACTCCTATCTATTTAATAGCAAGAAATGAAAACATATAAATAATAATCAATCAAGTCAATTTTTTTTGGCATTGATAGTAAACACTGTTCGGCAAGGCAATAGGTAACATATACAGTGTGTGGTAATCTGCTTTGAACAAACTCTTACATTACGATGACATATTTACATAGTGCTGTTCAGTACTAAATGCGCTAGTGGTTTTTAGCTTTAAAGATTGGTTTTAACTGATTTTCGCGTTTTATATTCCATCAGCATAAGCTTTCCGATTGACACTGTTTTTCGAAAATTGATTAAGAAAAACAAAAAACAATTAAAGGACGGGGGCGCATAAGAACAAGAATAGGTCCACGAACGGATTCACAAAAGAAGTTTATTTTCTGATGCAGAATTTTACCCTGAATCTCTTGATGTCAAATTTCAATATATTTTCGAAACTCTTTCATGCCGCCCGACCCAAGCCAATTATACAATACTTTTTATCAGTCCAGTGAGGTTATCTTTACCACAACATAATCTGATATAGCTTCAAATAGGCTCATCTGAAAGAGCATCAAATTCCGCACAAAATCCTATATGAACCAAATATAAATAATTACCCTTAGCAAAAATTTCTAAGTAAATACTATATTTCACCCCCTTTTTTCGCACGTCGCAGTCTTTCACGCACATCAATCCCTCAGGAATTGGTCCTACGATGAACTTTCATGTTAAGGCTCAGATGCAGTTTTTGACGAGCTTCACGATAGTATGATTTTTATCTCAAAATTTCACAGGGACAATACTGCCCAAAATAGTGATTTTTTTCCAAACGATCGTTCTTTTTTGATTGCAAAGTGCTTAAGAAATGTCTTTATAATGGACTTTCGTACTCAGGATCAGATGCAGTTTTCGACGGGCTTCATGATAGTATGGTTTTTTTCTCAAAATTTTATTGACCAAAAAGTTCGAGAAGTGATATAGTACATTAAGTCATGATGATTTATGGCGCTCGTTCAGAAAGTGTGCTATAGTGATAATGTAAATGGTGCTTGCCTGCATGTTAGGGTATGGGTGTAGTTGTGGGTGTGAATAGAGGTAAGACACTCATCGACACCCACACCCACCCACACTCACACCCTGCAAAACACAGTTAACGTGCACATAATTCTACTATACAACACTCCTAAACTTCGCAAAAAAACCATATCCTACGATGCCCAACATCGATCTATCAGCAGAGCTTGATCCCAGCTAATAACATACAGGCAAGCACCATTTACATTATCACACTCTAAGAAAAATCCGTCGTGTAGGAAACCCTTAATGGGTTTGCGAACTTGTTACTATCGGAAACCTTTTAAGGGTTTCCGAGAAAAGGTTTCCGAGCACTCGGAAACCCTACATTAGCATATTTTACTACCACAACACACCAACCATCGGAAACGCATTAACTGTTCACGAGCAGGTTCCAGAACAAGTAGATACCTTACTTCGGTCAATTAAAATAACCCTTACATGAGCCACAAAAGCCCTCACACTCTCAGCCCACGCATGAATATTAATGCAATTTCATTACAGACCTAATTAAAGAAAAAAGGATCAGATTGAATTTTATTGAAATCAATTGTCTTACCAGAAATTGTAATCGATATTCATATAGACCTAAATAAACAAAAACAAATTAGATTTAAGTTTATATTAATCAGCAGACTTCCCAGAACTTTTAGTGGTTATTCACATAGACTTAAATAAACAAAAAAGAATCAGCTTTAAGTTTATATAAATCAGCTGACGTACCAGAATTCTTCATGGACATTCATATAGACCTAAATGCAGAAAAAACAATCAGATTTACTTTTATTGAAATCAGTTGACTTACCC